GGGGGGGGGGACCAGGTACAAGAAATAGATTATCAGAGTGAATTAAAAATAAGACAACTGTGTTGTTTACAAGGAACCCAGTTTAAATCTAAAGGCTCAGGTGAAGAGTAAAGGGGCAAGACAGACCATGCTACCATTAACCTAGAGAAAGTCAGGGTAGCTCTTCTAATCTTATATAAAAATGACTTCAGAAGAAGGGACAATTTCAGGGATAAAAGGGGAATACTGATGATAAAGGAGTCAATTCTTTTTTTTTTTTTTTTAAATATATCTTTATTGATTTCAGAGAGAGGAAAGGAGAGGGAAAGACAGAGATAGAAACATCAATGATGAGAGAGTCATTAATCGAGCCCGCAACCCGGGCATGTGCCCTGACCGGGAATCGAACCCCAATCGCCTGGATCCTAGGTCGACGCTCAGCCGCTGAGCCATGCCCGCCAGGCAAAGGAGTCAATTCTTGAAGACCTGTCACAATCTTTAAAATGTATGTACCTAACAACAGAGTGCCAAAAAACACAAGGCAAAAACTTCTAGAACTAGAAGGGAAAACAAAAACACACTGTCATGGCTGAAGACGTTGACCCCATTCAGTCACTGACACGTCAAGCGGGCAGAAAATCCAGGCAGAGTTGACCCCAGCAGTCCTGCCAGACAACGTGATCTAACATTTATGGAGCTTCCCATCCAACATCAGTAGAGCACGCCTTCCTCTCGAGCTCACAGGGACACGACCAAGACAGACCATATCCTGGGCCATAAAACACACCTCAGCAAACGTAAAAAGACAGACATCATACAAACTGTGTTCTCGGGCCACATGGGCTGAAACTAAAAAAATCAGTAATAGAAAAAAAGCTGGAAAATATGCAACTAACTTGTGCTTCAACAACACTTTTAAATAACCTAGGTGTCAAGCAAGGAGCCTAAAGAGAAATTAAAATATATTTTGAACTACATGAAAATGCAACTCATCAACATTTGCAGGATGCGGGGCAAGCAGTGCTCTGAGGGAGATTTATAGCATCGAATGCATATATTAGGAAAAAAGAGTGATCCATGATCAGTAATCTAAGCCGGTACCTTAAGAAACTGGAGGAAAAAAGAGCAAAATGAACCTAAAGCAAACAGAAGAAAATAAATAATAAACAGAGTAGGAATCATTGAAATCGAATACAAGAGTGTGACAAAATCAGTGAAACTGAAAACTGTTTTCGACAAGCTTAAAATGCCCTACTTTGTCCTCAAGCTCCTGCTAGGCCACAGGGGAGGATGGAAGGAGACACCTGGTTCTACTCTGAGCCCTACCTCTGCTGGCTTATTATTATTTTATATCCTTACCCAAGGATATTTTCCCCATTGCTTTTCAGAGAGTGGAAGGGAGAGAGAGAGGGACACACTGATTGGTTGCCTTCCGTAAGTGCCCTGACTGGGACCGGTGATCGAACCTGCAACTGAGGTATGTGCCCTTGAAGGAAATCAAACCTGAGACCCTTTGGTCTGAGGGCCGATGCTCTAACCACTGAGAAAACCTGGCTAGGGCTCTATTGGCTTTTTAATTCCCACCCTCACAACCTGGGTCCCCACGGCACTGCCTGAGCCTGGACCCCCTCCCTCCGCCCGGGCCTGGGAGACGGTGGGTGGCGGTCTGGGGCTCGGCCCGGCTGTTATAGTAAGCCAGCCCTTTCTTTGGCTCTTCAGCTGATGTCTTTAAAAGACCTTTCAGAGCCATTAAAAACAAAGACCAGACAGTTATATATGCCACAGGGCCCCAGTGTCTGTTTTTAAAAGAGCCAAACCTGGTTAATGAACATATAAACCGTCAGGGCCGCCCTGGTTTTTCCCCTGCAGGATTCCTCCCTCCCTCCCCACCTTCCGCTTGGAGTGGGCAGGCCGTTCCCAGGGTGTCCTCCAAGTCCACCTCAGTCATGGGTAGCTGGTGTAATGCCCTCTTGGAGGCCTCGGAACGCACAACAGGATGTGACTCAGGGCTCAGGGATGTGAGTCAGTCTCCGGGGCGATGTGTCAGGGCGAGCCCCAGTGGTGGCCGGCATCTCCCGTCTGGGACCCCTGGGAGGAGTGACCCGGGCTCCCTGCAAACGCAGGGGTGCCCGATGCCCCACTTCCACCTCTGGGACGGGGTGAGATCAGCTTCGAGGCCAGGCATTGGGTCATTCTCTGCTGTGAACCAGGCAGGCCCTTGAAGCCCCACTGTTTTTCCAAGGCCGTTTCCCCCTCTGGCCTCTGCAGCAAAAGTGCAACACAGCACAAAAGTCGGGCGGCCGTCACCTGGGGGCGCGCCAGGTGGCAGACACTGGGCTAGCGCACTGCTGCTATCAGTGAGATCCCATGATGATGTGAGTCAGTTCCCACCAGCCCGGAATCCTGGAAGAGGGGAGGTTGTGAAAGAGCTCTGGTATTTGCCAAGCGCTTGTCTCCGCTGGCTGCAGACGTCGCGGTTAGTCATGTATGGCCGAGGTGCATTCATTGTTCCGGCAATTACTCCGCAGGGAGGCATCCAGCACCAAGCCGGGGCAGAGACCTGCCCGGGGCTCTGCGTCTCCAAGGCCTTAGGGTTTGCGGGACTGTCCTCCCAGCTGCCCGGCTGCCTGCCACAGGGGCGGAGGAGGGCTCTGCGCTCACGTCCATCACACACCGCCTCTGGGACCCAGATTCCACGGGGGCCTGGCGGCCCCGTGGCTTTGCGGTCGGCCTG